AGCCACTCGCTCCTCTTACCCTGACTCCTCTTGGAGAGACACGGCCAACCACGCCACCTCCTGGGCATGCCCTGCCATAATGCATGCAGGCTGCCTGCACCTAGCCTCTCCTGCCCTGCTCAACTACCACCACCACCTCCTAGAAGCCTCCCCTGATTCCTCGGTGTTGTCTCTTCTAAATAACATTTGCTGGGCCTTGTGTGCACTTGGCAGGGATCCTAAGTCCATGGCCTCTTCAACCTCCACAGCCTGTGAGGGAGGGACCACTGTGGCCCTGGGTTGGAGTTTTGGGCCTGGGGAGGTTATGAGGCTTGAGCCTCTCCTTGTACAGCTAGCTCTGGGGCTGTTGTTTACCCAGAGCCCTTGGGGAGGACAGGGGAAGCTGGCCAGGGTCTGGGGAGGGAGGGAGGGAAGGAAGGGCTGGGAAGTGGCCCAGAGTGGAGGAAACGGGCTGCGGAAACCGGCCATCCACACGCGCGTCCCGCCTGCTGTCCCCTGCCTGGAAAACATCCCCAGAGTGGACAAGCCCTGTCCTTTTAGGGGCCCGAGGGCCACAGAGGGCTCCAGCAAGCTCCGCCTCCAGTGTTGGGGGTCCCCAGAGACCAGGGCAAGTGGGTTCCTTTGTGCCAGTCCAGACTCAGCACATGTGGCCTGAGCCTCTTCACTGGTCTGATGTCGCCTGTCCTGTCCCCTTGTCCCTGTCCCCACCACTTCAGTGACATCATTCTCAGTGCAAATCAGGTCGGGCCCTCCCTCCCCCAAACCCTCCCCAGCCTTCCCCCAGAGCACCCCCAGCTCCACCAGGAGCCCAGGGCCAGCCCGCAGCCACCACAGAAAACTGCTGATGGAAAAGACACCTCCTCGAGGCGGTGGCAGCGGCAGCCAGAGAGCTGCGGGGATGTCACACCCTGTGGGGGCCCTAGGGCTGGGCACACGGCTGCTCATGGGACTGGCTGGAGACCCCCTCAGCCCAGGATAGCCCCAGCAAGCCTTGCACACTCGACTTCCACATCTCGCACATGGAATCAAGCCTCCACCTTTGGGAGCAGTTCTGGGCAAATATGCCTCCTCCATGAAGCCCTCCTAAAGAGAATTAACCAGTGTCTCCCTCGTGCCCTCAAAGCACAGGGTTCCCAACAGTGAGGGTCCCCACCTGGTGCTCCTCTGTGCGCTTGGACTCAGCTCCAGGTTCCAGTCCTGGTCTGCCCGCATGTCCTGTGGCCTCGGCCCCTCTGGGGGGGCTGGCTCCCAGCAGGTGTCAACCTGATGCCTGTACCCATGCTGGCAGCTGTTCGACCGGCACCTGTGCGTGCGCCAGCTGCGGTACTCGGGGATGATGGAGACCATCCGGATCCGCCGGGCTGGCTACCCGATCCGCTACAGCTTCGTGGAATTCGTGGAGAGGTACCGGGTGCTGCTGCCCGGTGTGAAGCCAGCCTACAAGCAGGTACAGGGCTGGGCTTTGGGGCAGGGGCAGGGCAGGGGCAGGGCAGGCCTCCGCTCCGGGCAGCGGCTCTCGTCCCGTCGGGACAGACGGCCTTTCGTGACAGCGGCCGAGCAGCGGAGGGGCTTTGATCTCATGGGCCGTTGTCCAGCTGAGCTGAGGAAGAAACAGGGTCAGAGAAGGCAGGACTGGCTGGGGTCACACAGTGACAGGGGGCAGGGCAGCACAAGAGCCTGTGTCCTGCCTCAGGAGGGACCCTCGGGCCTTCCCACTGGCGAGGCTGCCCATTCCCTTGTGCCCACCCCAGGACGACCTCCGTGGGACGTGCCAGCGCATGGCTGAGGCTGTGCTGGGCACCCACGACGACTGGCAGATCGGCAAAACCAAGATCTTCCTGAAGGTGAGCCTTCGTGGCAGGCGGCCCGCGGACTGCACCATCATGGTGGGGCAGGGCCCGGGTCCCACAGATGCGGCTGCAGCGGTGAAGGCAGTCCTGG